TCCACCTTGCCCACCAATCACTGCAGCACCATGGTTCACTTTGCATGGTACACTTTCTTCAGCCTGCATACATTTGTCCATACCATGACGGCGCTCGGTTGGTTTATTTTGGCCCCAACTTTCTGAGATGGGATAAAGTGACAACGTTCAGCACAAATCATAACAGAAAGGACACACCCCAGCCAAACACTTGGTTACTTGGTTACTTGGATCATGAAGAAGTCACATGCAAACAAGGGAAAGTTAAACCCACAAGAACTTTTCTCCACCAATATTTTTCCTTTATATTGACTTTTTAAGATAACAAATGCTAAAACTTAGAGGTTGGGTGAAAGATTTAGTGTAATATAACACCTTAGGTAGATAAAATGTACAATTTGTTAATAGAGGTCCAGACATCGGAGCAAAAAGGGGAGCAACTGAGGGCAAAAGAGGATTTTGGTTTTAAAAGATAGACTGTCCTTCTAAATGGGGGACAGTTGGGAGGTATGGCCATAGGTTCCCACACCTTCCATGGACACCCTTATCAAAGGGTGTACAGGTTCCCAAACCCTTCACCAGCTGTTATAGTTAAATCAGGAACCTACTTTTGTCAAGCCCAGCATTAAACACATCTACTTGAACCAGCAGAACTGAACATCCGCGAATCAAATGTACAATGCTTCAAATGTAACGTGTATTGAATATGTTCCTTTCACCAGAAAAATACCTCGTATTTCAATAACCTTTAGATGGTCTTTATAATATGAAAGGCTTTAAAGACTCCTTAAATTCCTCCCAGCTGTCTGTTATTACTATGCTAATTTCCGTCCGTTGCCTCCATATAAGCTGGAGTGAAGCATTGTTAAATGACTGCATCATCTAATAGCACAATTGAGTGTATGGTGCTTGTGTTTCCTATAACGGTCAGTTCATACCAATTATCTGACAAGTGGATTCCGCTGCATGAATAATATAGAAGTTTTATGTACTCGCTACACTTGTTGTACCTCATTACTTACAAAAACCTCACAGAAGCTGTTTCCGCGATGATGAATGAGAGCAGCCAGAAGAAGTTGGGGGGAAAAAAACAGTAAAAAAGTTAATATAAAGGTTATAATTGAAGAGTTGCTTTACTGGAAGAAATATGTGGACTGGTGCTGCTGACCTTCTTGCCTGGCTTTTGTGGCCTGCACTGCTTTCTGAAAGGAATCTGCATGAGGGCCGGGAAACTAGCATGTTCAGGGGTCAGTGATGGTAGTCTATACTCTGACCTTACTAGATGTGTTCCATGCAGGTATGGGAAGAGCTCAGTACAGGATCATAGAGCATTGGTGAAAAAAGCACAGGGGATTACTGGAATACAGTTTACATAAATGCAGGATATATATGTTAAAATATATTGATGGGTGACGGGAGGACGCTAGTTTGTGTCCTCCTGTTACCCAAGGAGAACTATGGGGAAAAGCCTTAACCCCATAGTTCTCCTTTAAGAAAGCTGATCCTATTTAAACCAATTTAGGATTCCGGATACGTGTTCTACGTTCTACTAGAAAGTGGTTAAAACAACCATACGGCTGCTGCAGCAATGAGCTTGTGTTCTTTTTATTCAGCCAGCTCCCGGGTTATAAATTAATCAGGAGGGCTGTAGAGCTGCCAAATCACATTTATTGGTCTTGCGTGGTGTCACCCTTCCATCAGAACCCCCTTGCACTGTCCCACTCCCCACCAGATATTCTGATCTTTAATAATTGATCTTTCCGTCTGAACAAATTAAGTAATTGTAAGGGGGCTGTAGGGAGCACACATGTGGAAGGATTGATTTGGCTAAAATTTCAGTTATCTCCAGTAGTCTCATATAGTGTGTCTGCAGTCTCCAACATCTCATTTAGCACGCCTGCAGTTTGTAACTATCTCCTGTTACATGTCCCCACCCTCTGACAGCTTTCTGTAGCATTTAATTAATTGAACATTATGTGTGGCCCTTTGGTGATGTTGGGGGCTGCACTCTCTTTCAAGTAGATTGCCTTAATGGGCTCCCCATAACTAACAGGCAGCACTTGAATATTTTTCGTGTCCTGTCAGCACTCAGCCCTTTCACCCAGCAGCAAAAACATTGAGATAGAGCTGTAAACATCAGTCAGCTCACATATATTAAGACCTGTTGACAGCTGAGACTGGTAATGAGGTCTGGCTACTGTGAACCTAGGAATGGAGACTTCATCCCACCCAAAGCTCTACAAAGCCTCCGGGTTCTTTTTAACATTATGAGAAAACAAAAAGTCCCTCACCATGTGCAGGTGAGAAGTCTAGATGACACATATACACCCAGAGGCGCACCTACGATAAAATTTGCTTATAGCACCCAGCACATCAGCCAGAAATCCTGGAGTCCCTCACCATGTGTAGTGAGAAGACCAGGTGACACATATACACCCAGATGTGTATCTACTATAAAATGCACCTATGGCATCCCACCCAGCTCCTGGCAACCAGTGATGTCAGGAGCTTGGCGGGATACCTGCCAGAGTGAAAAAAAAGTCAGCTGTCTCCATGGCTTGGTGAACTTTTGCTGACCCAGGGAGCAACACCCCCCTCCCTTCAAGTGGCGCACTTCATACAGCATCCATAATCCTGCCAGCCAGTGCCTCACATTATATACAGTAAACACTGATTGTGCAAACACCACGCATGCTGAATGTAATACATCCCTTAAAGAATTCTATAGGCGTGCCATCTTGGTGTGTTTAAGCATTAAGATCCTCCACCCATTTCCTTCAACTTTATAATTACTCTCCTCTAAGAAGTGAAACATCAAAGAAAGGAACGGGTAGATTGTCTCTATGCCATTAGAACAATAAAGTTTTGTATGTGGAGGAAGAAGAGGTGTACGGCTCAATGCTTGTTCATTATTGCAAAGGGGAAGTGATGGAGCCCAAAGTTTGACTGGGGCCCGTAGCTGGAGTATGGTGCAGTGTTGGAGGATGCATGACAAAAGGCCTCCCAGCAAACAATGAGGTTTAAATTTAAAACACATACGGATAAGAATATTTACTACGTTTATCAAGAGATGAAAAAACATCAAATAAAATTTACATCCCATTTAATGGAAGGACAGGTTTACCTAATGGCTATCCGTGAGGCCTAATTGGTAGTTTGAGATCCAATGTTCTAAGCTGCGCTAGAAAAAGGGACAGCTGGCACCTGATTGGTTGCTGTAGGCCACGCCTTCCAGTTCCTTGTGTGATGCCAAATCAGCCCTTGAGCCAATTTCCAGCCATAATTACAAAAGCTGGAAAAACATCGTCTCAAATCCCGATATGCGTGTTCTGCTGTCACACGACAGGGTAATGAATTAGCGCGGTAATAATTTTGGTGTCGGTGCTGCTACATTTGCTCATAAAAGAAGCTTTTTTTTTTTTTGCCTCCTCTAAGAGATCAAAAACATATTGCGTTTGGGGAATTTCATTTTTAATTACGTGGTGAGAATAAACAGGGCGGCTGAGAGTACAGCATGAATAATTGATACGAGATGAATAACAAAACTCTGCAGGTAGGAATTAATAACAACATCATTTGCAAGGAATTGACTGACCCACGAGACGTTACCTCCAAATAACCCCTGAACACAAGGCCATCGTTGTGTTTTACCTGTGACGCCTGATTCTTTTCTTGACAACTGCGGCAAGAAGAATATATATACAGATTCATTGTCTGAAAATCTTTTACAAGTCTTTTAAAGGGACAGGCCACCCAAAACCAACATTTTGGCTTTTTGTGTATGGTAACAAGTTCAACAATTTACCAGCTGATTATGTTTCTTGTCTCCAATGGACAGACTTTGCCTTCTAAGCTGTCAGGACCCCATACCCACCATGATTATTATGAAATGACTGAATTTTTCATATCTCTTACATTGCCAAGAATGCAGTAAGAGGAGTATGGCCAATGGACAGGAACAGGGAGTCAACTGGATAAAAGAGTTGAAGGGGAGATCTTACCATTGGACTAGCCAAGTGATATAATAAGACAGTGGGTGCTTCAGTCCATCAAAACCCACTTAGAATTGAGATATCAATATTTAGGGAGACTAGATTTTTAAATAATCAAGATGTAGACATTTGCTATGATTACGTAATTCAATCTATGATCACAATACAAGTATTTAAAGGGCAGGGAAACTTACACATGTAGTTTCCTTAACCTTTTGCACCCCCAATCTCTTTCTTTCCAATCTCACTTCAAAGCCTGTGGCATTGTTTACTACTCTCCACTGGCTACCTGTTCTGCACATGTGCATTTCAACGCCATAGGCTTCTATGTGGCTGGTAGATGGATGTCCCTCTACTAGTACCAACCACATAGAAGTCTATGAGGACAAAATGCGCAGGTGCGGACAATGAATCAAAATGTCAGTGGAGGAAGGTATACAATACTGCGGGCCTCGTAGCAAGATCTAGCTAAGGATAGTGATTTGGGAAGGAGGGGGGGTGGAGTGAACCTACTAAGAGTAGTGGGGGCAAAAGTATAAGGAAGCTCATGGTATAATTTCCTTAACACATAAGTTTAAATGTAAAATGTCGCTCGCTGTGAGAATATTAAATTACCTTGCAACAAAGAACTAGGAGTGTGCAACTGTGTGTGTTGCTATTTCTCAGACCTGCTGTCAAACTGACAAATTTGTGCAAAATAGAGTTACTGTCAACTTATTTGAGGCATACTGACTTTGCTAAACTTGGTCTGGGCATCTAAGCTTCAGCTTAGATGCAAGCTTAGCCTTTTCTATGACCAATGGTCACAGTTTTGATTTGGAATCCCTGTAATGCTGTTACTGCCAGTTGGAGATGAGGTATTGATTCTGTTGCAAACTCAATGTTGGGGGTTTGTATTCCAGGGCCTCCATTGACCACTCCTTGAAGCCATGGACGTGGTATGTCAATGCTCATTCACATTTCACTCTTCATTTTACCATACAAACACAATGGAGATCATGAGTTAGACCTATATACACCGTCACTAACCTCTGAGGCCAACCAGCATAAGCTCTTGAATTCAAAGCGTACTCCAGCTCAAAACGCGTCCGCAAAGCGGCAACATGGCTACGCCCTGGCCCACTGCGAGCAACCAGACAGTCTGAAGAGGCTGAGGGCGAAAGGGAACCGCTGCTGTTACTGGATGCTGGGGACATCAACTGCAATGAGAAGGCATAACAACAAGGTTAAAGGTGAAGTCCAGGCACACATCTAAATACAGAATGAAAAACTATTTCAAGGAGCCGTTTTACCTGCCAAAGGAGTTGTATTTCTGTCCGTCCAGTCCTGAGACTTACACAGCTCTCTACACAGAACAGCCCTGCCTGGCTAACCTATTTTTTCTCTGCTGCAGTTATGTTACACCCACTGTCCCTCCCCCAGACTGTGACTGGACAGTGAAAGGAGAAGCAGCAAACTGATGAGCCATTTTTGTTATTTTAAAATACACATTGTAGGCTTGAAGTTACTTAAACCCCCCAAGAATTATATATTTTCTAAAAGCAGCGACCCTATAGAATAAAATGGTGGCAGTTGCTCTTTTTGTATGCATGATATTAGCATAAGTGTTTATCAAACCCATTCAAAATAACTTAACACTTATTTCAGTGCACATAAACACAATAAAATACCCACTTTTTTGGTAAAATATAAAAGATGAAGTTATATCGACTACAGAGATACCAAACATGTGAATCTTCAAAAATGTGTGCGCCTGTGGCCCCTCTCCCCCTTCGCTGCAATGGACTAAAGATCCTTGAGTCATCACCTCTAGTGTATAGGACGTGAGGATGCCGAGGGACATACATTGCTGTAGTGGAGAAGGAGACAGGCTGGAGGGAGTGATGCTAACTCAGAGGATCCGGTGAGACTAACTTTTTTTAGGTCGTAGGCAAAAATGAGCAGTCAACCTTTGCAGTGTGGGGGTTAGCTCCACTGCAAGGGGTAATCAAATTTGTTCCCAGAGTTCTACTTTAGCTTTATTCTGATCACATAGGGGGATTTTAAGCTCTCTATGTGATGACAGATTCTTTTAAAGAGGACATTATCGGTCTACCTAACACACATCAAGCTTGATCAGCTTCATCCCCTGTGTCACCCTTCCCTGTGTGATGATCCGGCGCCGGGTTTTACCTTCTGTCTGAGCTGCTCGGCTTCCTACCAATCCACTCTGAACTAGACATGTGCACTGCCAAAAAAATTGTTTTGTTTCGTTTTAAATTCGGATTTGTGTTATTTAGTTTTTCGGGATTCGGGTGTGAAAGTCAATTCGGATTCGGAATTCGGATTCGGACGAAATTTGGTAGCGGTAGGTCGAACGTTCGTTTCGTTTCTTATTCGTTTCTTATTCGTTTCGTTCGTTCGTGACATTTGAGGGGGAAAAAATATTTTTCTCCTTCTCTAATGTCACTTTGCTCCAACGAACGAAACGAATAAGAACCGAATAAGAACCGAAAACGAAACAAACGTTCGAACTACCGCTACCGAATTTTGGAAATGGAAATTCGGATTCGTTTGCATTCGTTATGTCTGTAATTCGGAATTCGGATACATCCGAATGTCCGAATTTCCGAAAATTCGTCCGAATTTCCGAAAATTCGTCCGAATTTCCGAAAATTCGTCCGAATTTCGATTCGGAACGAAACGAATCGCACATGTCTACTCTGAACCTCTCCATTAAAAGTCCAACTCACTTGTTCGAGCAACGTGTCTTTACACCCAGTCGCACTCCCTGTTTATCACTTGCCTTTGAAATCCCTGCGGCTTGCTATCACCTACCTTGTTCCCTGTGTGTCTCTGGATTCCCTCTTGCTCACAGTGAGATCCTGTATCTCCAGCAGTGGATTGACCATCATCTTCTTGCACCTATGCTTACTTGTGTGTCTGTGTATAGGCTTCACCCTTGCCTGCTGTTGCATCCAGCACCTCGTTGCTGCAACTAGCCTCTAGTCTGTGTGGGCGTGCTAGAGGTCCGCAACCTGGAGGGTGTCCAACAGCCAATCATCCTCACCATTAGAGGCTCTGTCAAACACCTGGCCCTACTTAGAATCTGCGCCTCTAGTGTGCCTCCGTTAACGCACAGACACCTACTTCCTGTGTTTTCACCCCAGACACCCTTTTTTGCACGCTACTTTTAGTCATTTTGTGTGCCCCGGTCGCCGGACCGTGACACCCTGCCACAGTGGCTGGTGAATGACAGCTCAGAAACAGTAAGTGACAAAATCCCTGTCACTTCCGGCTTTATTTACCACTCAAGCTGCCACCCACCATGGCCATCCTGGACCCACAGGAAGTGCAGCGAAGCCCAAGATACATGGCAGTGGTTTTGGACTTGGAGGACGGGAGGCACCTTAGGCAGCCTTTAAAAATAATGCTCCATATCACCAGGTTTAGAACAGGTTACTGATGAACGCAGACATGCTCTGTGAATAGGATTTCAACCTTGACAGTCATGAATACTGCTGTGTCGTAACGTCATGCAAACTGTAGCTGTTGTGAAAATGATGAAAAAGTCATTGAAAAATATGGGTTAATTTCCTTTTTAACACATAAGCCTTAAAAGTATGCAGCTGTAGCGGGATCTGCGTAATAAAACATTCTTTAGAAGACACATTTATAAGAAACACATCCAAACGTTACATTTAATGATATTATTCATCTACTGTTGCTGTGCAAAGAGCGAAAGAAAAAAAAAAAAGAGTTCTAGAAGAAAAATATTCTGGCAGGAAGATTCAAGTGATAGACAGCAGCACAGAGACACATTATTGGAGCCGGGCCTCTCATTTATAATATTCGACGTACAATTTCTCTGCTGCAAACAGGTGAATGGAGCCCGGCCATAAAAATGAATGGCCAAGTCTCTCATGGAAAATGGCAACAATGAGAGCGCTGATGTTAAATTAAGGAACATGAACCTGGCCGGCGGTCACATTAGGTGAGCTGAAAAATATCTTTAATTTCCTCTGTCATTTTTCTTGTCATCTCTTCCCGGAGACGTTGCAGCCGTGTTTTGGCTCGAAACATCCATTTATTTATTTAGGTCGTTGATTGTTAACAGATAATTCTATATCGGCGCTATAATCATTATTTTATTGCAGACGGAAAGTCAGCTGTAGGACCCGAGGCTTGAGAACAGTCATCTCTTCCCAACGCTGAGATAAATATGTTTAATAGGACTGAATTTCTCTTTTTTAAAGCTACGCTCCAAGATTAAAAAATCAAGCATTGTCATGGACACAGGCTTTTTTGTTTGTCATGCAGACATACGCTATATGCCCCAAAAAATGCAGACACCCCTTTCCAAAACCATGGCCATAAATATGGAGTTGGTCTCCCCTTTGTGGCTATAAACATCCTGCACTCTCGTGGGAACTCCTTCCATAAAATGTTGGGGGTATCTGTGGAAATCTGTGTCCATTCAGCCAAAATGAGGCCAGGTACTCTATGTTGGATGAGAAGACCTGGCTCACAGTTGGGGGGTCTAATTCATCCCAAAGGATGACACTGTTCCAAACTGTCGTTCATTTGGAAGGACTGTCCCTTCTATTGGAACCAAATGTATGCCCCCCCC